GCTTCTCCAAAGCCTGGGAATCGTTTTCTAATTAGCTACAGGGAAGAACTCTGCCTGCTTATTCATTCAGGCATACTTACCCGGCATCACTAAAACCATGGGCATGTTTGCCTTTCAAAGATCTAAGCTGTTTCCTGTGAATCGTTTTCTAATTAGCTACAGGGAAGAACTCTGCCTGCTTATTCATTCAGGCATACTTACCCTGCATCACTAAAACCATGTTTGCCTTTCAAAGATCCAAGCTGTTTTCACTTGTTGTAAACCATCCTGTACTTAAATTTTCCTTACCCTCTAATATGATTTTAAACATGGGCTCAATATGCGCTTCAGAAATACATGGAATTTCACTTGTGCCAAACTGTGATCAGCATCTGAACAATGAAATTCCAGCGTCTTAGGTTAATTTCACCATTCTCTGTGGCTGGAAAGGAACAAACCTAGCCTTAAATTTCCAGAAACCCAGTAAACAAAACAAAGACAGCCTGGCCCCTACAAAATCCTAAGGATTTCTTAAATTTCACCTCCCTGGCTTTTACACATAATTCAAATAAGTCCAGCGCCAAAGCCTAACATGATCACGGCAGAATTTGCTACAGAAGGAATTTTTCTTCCGTAGAGTGCTAGAAGTGTGTGTGTGGTCACATCGGTGCCACACCTCTCTGTCTTTAGCAATAGTGATCTGTCTTGTCACCCACTTTGAAATACACTTGTCATTTTAGAATTTTCAAAGGAACAGTGGAAGACAGCTAAATGAATATTCCTTGGAACGCAGGTCAGGTTGGAGCAGAATCGCTGTTATTCTCTCTACTGGAGCTGAGATGCAGGACTCTGTTCACTAGAGATGCATCTGTAACAATTCATTTGATGGCTAGCTTTGGGAAGGAAATGACTCCTGGAGCGCCTGACAGCTTGGGGGACGATGGCAGTCCTGCATGGTCCCTGTATGTAGTACCCACAATATGCCTCAGGGCAGGTCCTGAGGAGGTGCTTACTAAGTTCTAAGTCTCTACTGCTGGGAGAAGACATGAGGAGCTACAACGGATTCTCTTCCTCTCGCTGTCAGAAATGGAGCCTTCTGGTTGTCTCCAGGGTCATACACATTGAGCTATGCGCTGGAGACCAGCATAGGGTTCTCTGCTTCCCAAGCCACAATTATTAGGTCATCAGGAAAGCCATGACGTATCTTTCTATGTAAAAATGCACCATGACTTTCCCTATGACCCAACAGAATAAGATATCCGAGGGTAGGCAGTGGCCCAGCGATGATGCGGTACTCTGAGGGGCTGACCCACAGGGGAAGGTTCCAGGTTTGCATCTACAGACCTCCCTGAGAACACTAGCTAATGCTAGGCTGAGATGGCTCACGGCATCAGAGGGCCAGGCTGAGGGCATGGACTCAAGGAGACCCGTGGCTGAAGCCTCCTCCACTAAGACAGTAAAAATCCCAAAGGACTCCCTGTAATCCAGGCAAAGGAGGGAGGCCTCGGCCTGGGTTCTCCCCAGTCAGGCTTATCCACTCTGGCACTCCATTTCATTTGACTTCTCTTGGACAAACCAAACGAAAGCTGGTAGCCAGAATCACAGTGCAGCAGAACACTGGCGTTTCTGAGGGGCATGTCTCCAGATCTTTCCGAGTTCCACGTTCACATGTACCCCTCTGCTACAGCTGAAAACTTCAGGCCACGTTTCCATCCTGCATTTCACCCCAACAAGTAAAGGCACCAGGGAGCTGGGGGGTGGGATGCGAAATATTCTCCCACTAGCTTAGGGAGCCGTTCCCATCAAGGCTTGGTCTCATGTAATGCTTTTCAGTCTTAGCGAAATTGCAAATGACCCAGGTTTTCATTCTCCTCAAATGCCATGGCCTCAAAGGTTAAAGATCAGTCTACTTTGCAGTCTTCCAAAACAATCCGGCTTCCTCAGGCCAACCTGAAGACACCTCTGAAACGATCCTGCAACACACCGGACTTCCCAAGATTTAAGGTGGAGTCAGGGCTTGTTACCTCAGAGGCCAGAGATAACGATTACAGATGTGAGAACATTCTGGCAACTTCTCTAACAATTAAGGCTTTAGAGCTTCTGGACATGCTGCTCATAGCCATGTATTCAGTGTTTTATTTATTTACATTAGTCTCCTGTTTGCTTAAAATACTTACATCATTTTCTAAAAAATTAAACATGCTTCTTTCAGCCAACTCCTTTGACTCTTCAAATTTTTCTACCGCTTGTCTGACTTCTTCGTCTGGGATCTTACCTACTCGCTTCTTTTTATAATCGTAATCCAGGCGGCGGCCTTCTAGCTTTTTCAGGTGGTGCTGAAAAAGAAAAGGGAGCCCCTCAGAGAACCGTTACGTTCCAAACGTGGTACAAG